GGTATCATGTGGATTTCACAAGTTTCAAAATCTCCCCTCCCCCTACCGCATCCCAAAACAGTCCAGCTCGTCCCTGCCTCCCTAACCTGTTCTTCCTCCCACCTATCCCCTCCTCCCACCTCAAGCCGCACCTCCATCTCCTACCGACTAACCTCATCCCGCCCCCTTGACCTGTCCGTCCTCCCTGGACTGACCTATCCCCTCCCTAACTCCCCACCTACACTCACCTTTACTGGCTCCATTCCTGCCTCTTCGACCTGTTTGTTTCCTCTCCTCTGTTCCATCTTCTATCCACCTCCCACTCTCTCCCTATTTATTTCAGAACCCCCTTCCCCTCCCCCTTTTCTGATGAAGGGTCTAGGCCCGAAACGTCAGCCTCTCTGCTCCTATGATGCTGCTTGGCCTGCTGTGTTCATCCAGCCCTGCACCTTGTTGTCTCCCATTAACAACTATTCACCCTTGCAGCCTGATCGTTATCAAGTCTTTTGTCTGTCCAACTGTTCTTTCTTTAGGCTCAGTTCTATCGCTTACTCCCTACCCCACTCCCCTCCCTATTTTCTGCATATAAACTGACATTTTCCCAGCCACCATCAGTTCTGAGGAAGGATCACTGGACCCAAAATGTTAACTCTGGATTTTTTTTCTTCAAGATGCTGCCAGACCTGCTGAGCTTTTCCAGCAACTTTGTTTTTGTTTCTGTCTACACTGTTTGGACCTTTCATGATTTTGAACATCTTTATCAAATTTCTTGTCAATACTCTCTTTTTAAGGAGAACTGCCCCAATTGCTCCAATCCAACCATATAACTGAAGTCCCTCTCCTCTGAAACCATTCCATTAATTTCTTTTTGCTGTACCATGTCTAATGCATTAATTCTTCCTGAAGCAAAGTGACCAAAATTGGACATAGTGCTCTAGTTGAAAACAAATCAGTATTATTTTTTAAAAACTGGACCAGAAACTGCTGGAGAGACTCAGCTGATCTGGAAGCATTTGTGGAGAGCAAGCAGAGTTAACATTTTTATTCTAGTGACCTCTAACTCGAAACATTAACTTGGCTTTCCCCCCACAGTTGCTGCCAGACCTGCTGAGTTTCTCCAACAGTTTCTGTTTTTGTTTCAGATTTTCAGCATCCATAGTTCTTTGTTTTATTTCAGAATTTTAGGAAGTTTCATTATAATTTCCTTGGATTTGTATTCTATGCCTTTATTTGTGAAACCCAGAATCTTGTCAAAGCAAAATACTCAAGGTGCTGGAAATCTGAAACAAATATAGAAAATGCTGGAAAAACCCAGCAGGTTGGGCTGCAGCTATGGAGAGAAAAAACAGTTCATTGTTTCAAGTCTGATGAGATTCTTCTTCTGAAGTTCTTCTATTCTTGATGGGGTAGATGTGTGAGGATATTTCAACTCCTGGAGGATCCAAAAACGGCAAGGTGAATACAGTTTGAAATGAGGGTTCTCCCATTTAAGATGGAAATGAGGAAGAATTGCTTATCTCATTGAGCCGCTAATTGTTGGAGTTTTCTACCTCCGAGAGCAATGGAAACCGAGTAATTGAATATATTCACTGCTGAGTTTGACAGACTTTTGATCAACTGGTAATGGGGGCAGTCTGGAAAATGAAGTTCACAAAAAACAAATCAGCCTTGACTTATCAAATGGCAGAGCTGAGTAGGCTGGGAGCCAAATGGCTACCTCTGCTATTGTTCATTATGTCCTGATGTCTAGCTGCTACTGTACCCTTTTCGATATTACCTCCCCTTGTTCTTCCTAACAGAATTAATCTGTTCTATGTGTTAAATTTCATATGCCATTTTTCTTCCCATTCGGTCAGCCTATGTCCACTTGAGGTTTATCACTGTTACCCTCATGGTATACAATACTTCCAAGTTATGCCATATGCAAATTTTGAAATTAATGCTTTATGTATCATATTTTGGATAATTAGTCTAGGGGTCATGGTGGTATGGTTGTCGTAACATCAGACTAGTAATGCAGGAGACCAGGCTAATGGTTCAGGGACATGTGGTCAAATCCTACCATGGCAATCAGTAGATCTGAAATAAAAATAAAGCTAATCCCTGCAGTGGTGACCATGAGGTGTTCGTCAAATTGTTGTAAAAAAAAACCTGTCTGGTTCATTCATGACCTTGCTTGGCCTGCCTTCCTTGTAACTTCAGACCCACACCAGTGTGGTTGACACATAATTCTCCTCTTAAATGGCCCAGGAAGCCAGTTGGCTCAAGGGTACTTAGGGATGGGCTAGTTTGACAGCAATGGCCAAATTCCATGAAAAGATAAATGTTTATCTAGAAAATCAATGATCCTATTATATATCATCCTCCTGTCCAAAAAAAGTCTAATCATTCCTGCTGTGTTTTCTGTCACTTTGCTAACTTCATATTCATGCTGCCACTGCCATGTTAATCCATGTGCTTTGATTCATCTGGCAAGCATATTATATTGGATTTTGTTAGATCGCATAAGGCACCTTAACCACATTACCCTCATGAAGCCTGTATTATTTCATCAAAAACTCAATTGGTTAGTGAAACATCTTCAACAAATCCATGCTGATTTAGCTAATTAATTTACGTGTCCAAGTCACTGTTAATTTTGTCCCAGACTACTGATTCCCACTACTGAGGTTAAACTGATTGATTGATTGACCTGTGACGCTAAATACACCTTTTATTGAAGAAGTTTGCAACATTTACAATTCCCCATCTTCTGGCATCACACCCCAAGGAAGAGTGGAATTTTATGGCTCTGCAATTTTCATCCTTACTTCCCTTAGCATTACATCCAGTTTTGGTGACTTACCAATTTAATTACAATTCGTTCCACACATTAGGCTATCTTATAAGATAAGAGTCCATTGTGTTGGGTATATTAGCATACATAGAGGATTGACTAACTAATGGAAGACTGAGTTTTGGGATAAAGGGGCATTTTCAGGATGGCAATCTGTAACTCATGGAGTGCCACAGGGATCAGTGCTGGGGCCACAATTATTTACAACGTATGTTAATAATTTGAATGATGGAAGTGAATATATTATTGCCAAGTTTGCAAATGACACAAAAATAAGTGGCAAGGCAAATGGTGAGGATGACAGAGTCTGCAGAGGATAGGCAAGTGGGAAAAGTTCAGCATATAGAATATAGGAAAATATGAGGTGGTGCACTTTATCACGAAGAATAGAGGAGCTGAGTATTATTTAAGTGGAAAAAAACTCCAGAAAGCTGCAGCATTAAAAAAAACTGGGGGGATCCTCGTGCATGTATCACAACAATTTAGTCTTCAGGTTCAGCGGTTACTATGGAAGGCAAATGGAATGTTGGCCTTTCTTAAAAGGGAAAGAAGTTCGTAAGCAGAAAAGTTTTGCTAAAATTTGCAAGACACGAGCTAGATAACATCTAGAATACTGAGTAATTTTCGTCCTCTTCTATAAGGAAAGATATAGTAGCGTTGGAAGCAGTTGAGAAGTTTCACTAGATTTATCTTGGGTAAGGATTGACTTTCTTATAAGGAGAGGTTGAGTAGATTAGGCCTATACATGTGGGAGTTTAGAAGAATGATTTTTTTGTTGGTTTGATTCGGTCAATTCGTGGGAGAGCCTAGGATCTATCTCGGAGTAAGGAGTTGCCCAGTTGGGACAGAGATGAGGAGGAATTTGTTCTCCGAGCATAATAAATCTATGGAATTCTTTACCGCAGGGAGCTGTTGAGGCTGGGTTGTTAAGTATATTCAAGGTTGAGATAGACAGATTTTTAATTTGTACGTGAACCATGCTTATGGGGGGAAAGGCATGAAAATGGAATTGAGGATTACAAGATCATCCATGATCTCGTTGATTGGCAAAATGGAATCGTTAAGCTGAATGGTCTGCTTCACTCCCATGTCTAACAATCTTAACTGATTTTCCTGGGAAACATGGTGACAGGATGCTAACACGGTAACTCAGTTAAAGAGAGTTAGCAAAGCCTAGTGTTTGACAACCGGGTTCCTGCTGTTTTGAACAGGTCTAAGATTTAGTGCTCTATGCACGAAGTGTGGAGCCCGTGTCTTCATGTGCAACTGATTCCCTCCCCACATCAATTTCCAATCTTAAGCTCCAATCTCAGTTTAAAAGCTGACTGGTGAATTTCGCACAGAATCACAGCCCTCAGTACTGGTGTCCTGCCCCACCAGAAGTAGCAGGCCAATCAGAGGCCGGCAGTTTCTGGGTCCTAGAGATTGTCGCTGGAGGTCTAAGGTTTTTTTAGGGCATTAACAAGCGATAAATTTAATTTCCCCTTTTTTTTAGTGGGTAAAGTTGAGGATTTGGAGGAATTCCACCCATTGTTGCTCTTGATTGATCCCAGGTTAGTGCCCTACTTCCAACCCAACAAATAGGACGGCCTCTCACCTACCAGGAAGGCAGGTAATCAAGCTTGTGACCAGATGTGGCCTTGAGGTTGAACATTTTGAGCACCTTAATTGGTGATGAGTTGAAAAGGTCCAAAAGGATTTTCCCAGTACTTAATTTCGTGGGTGCTGAGAAGCAGTGTGTATGTCTCCAGCACTGTCTAGTCAAATTATTTGCCCTTCTTGCCATCTTCCTTACCACCTCCAGTGAGGGGACAATAATACCCAAAGTGTGTAATGTTTGACATTCATTGTATTGGATCTGAACTCAAACTTTTACATTGCAGGGCGAAGCCACTATAAAAAAGATGCTGGCCTTTTGGTGGCCTTTGGCCTTGATTCTAGCAACTCAGCGAATAAGCAGACCCATTGTCAACTTGTTTGTTTCTCGTGACCTGGGAGGTAGTCCAACAGCCACAGAGGTGAGTTTACCTTAATTTACCGGAAATATTTTTACTTACTGCATTATCACATTGTAAGTTTGTAATTCAGAGTCCATGGAGAAAGCTAATCCAGGCACTCCTTTTACCTATTCCCAATTAGTGGTAACATAACATGTTGGCGTTTGCAAGGAGTATTTTCATCCACCTTGGCTTATTATAGTTATAAGGATTTTAGTGCCAGTTATAGACGATTGATAATGTGTTTTAACAAATAAAATTTGGACTTTAATGCATCCAGGATGTTCTCTAGCATTGTTTAATAAAATAAGCACTATCTTCATGGAAAAAGAATTAAGCAAACCTTTTGTAAGTGTAAGTTTGTTTACTAATGCATGATTCCTCAAATTGCACCAACAGACAGACATCATCATTTGTACATACTCGTGTGGTTGCAGCTCCTCTGCCTCTTTTCTGAAAGTCAACAAAAGAAATGTCAGCCATCCCCTCATGACGCCTGTGCGCCTCTATAAATAACTTTCTCGGTAGCTGTTTTGGAAGATTGAGCATCTGATATGACGTGTTGCTGAAGCATTTGAGAAATAATTTGGAATATAGCTATTGCTTTAATTATTTATAATGCAGACAACCTCATAGCACTTAGAACTGGAGCTATGATGTAACAATTCCTGTGGCAGTGTTAAAGCAGCACTAAAATTGATTGTGATTCATTTTCTTGTAAATGCTGCATGCTGAGGTAGAGTTATAACATCTTTAAATCACTTAGTTATTTCAAAATTGTAAATATAAAAATGAAGAGGAAAATGGAAATAAAATAAATGGGGTTAATTTCAGTGCCTGCAGGTTCTTTGTTTCTCCTTGAAGATGATTTTTTTTTAGATTTGAGGAATGCAGAGGGTTTACAAGTGTGATTTTTGTATGGCTACAGTTGCAAGCAGGTCTATTGCTTGTATGGCTCATATTCCTCCTGAGCAAAAACCTATATTTTTACAATTAGAGGATGATTAGGAGGATAAAGGAAACAGGAATGCTACTCAGCAAGAGGAATGCTTGGGACCACCGTTATCCTTCCAATGAAGTGTGCAGACCATGGCAAACATTTCTGCCTCGAGTTATTCTCGAGGAGTCTGTGCTTTATTAGGTAGGTATTTACGGACAGGTCTCATCCTGCAAGATGACCTCCAACCAACCTCCAGAGAAAGCAATGGTCAGGCATGATATTTTCTTGCCAGCAGCTCGCTTTTTTTTGTCAGATAATCTATAGTTTATGAAACAACCAAGTAAATAATATCAAATTGAAATTTCTTCTTAACTTCCCTTGTTAATGAAAGAAACCTGAAAATCAGATTGTGTGTATCTTGGGAAGCAATTCACAATCACCAATTTATAATCTGCAAACAAACTTAAAATTACCCTATGTTTGCAGAGATATCTGAATATCTGGGAATGTTGTACATCAACCCTTTTGTGAACTTAATCACATTTTATATTTGTTTTATTTTCACTTCCAGGCTGTTGCTGTTCTAACGGCCACATATCCAGTGGGCCACATGCCTTATGGTTGGCTGACTGAGCTTCGTGCTGTTTACCCTGCTTTTGACAAGGTAATGCTGGACATGACAAACTGAAGAACAGTCAACACAAAAAACCAAAACAAAAAATATAGTTACTAACACTGCAATACTTGAAAAGGAAGTTGACATAAGCTGTGCAAGTTACTGACATAAATTCCTGATTTCTGTTAGTTACCAATTTAGGCTCTTACAATATATAGCATAACACTATGTAGTATCTGTTTATTGACCCTACTCCAAATTTATTAATTCCTGTATTTTACATACAATTTGTCAATTTAACAATGATTTTTTATTCTTTATTCAGAAAGTTTAAGTTAGGGCATAGAGGTGACTTTTTACATCCTATATTTTCCTTTTTGTTCCTAATGCTTAGCTACAAAAGAAAATGAACCAGTAATGAGCATTTCCGTGTTTTTACTGCACCTGCTGTCGTGCATGGTGCATGGTGAGGATTGTTAAGTCATTGTCCATAAACAAATGGGGGTAACTTTTAAGAATGATGTTAGTTACTCACAGTCAAACTGAAGTAGTTTTACAGAGGAAAAGCAAGATTTCAAAACGTTAATAGAACACTAATAGAAGTAAATAGTATCACTGAAGACTTTGTTTTCAGTGACCTTAACTGTTTATTCAATAGTGCAGAGGCATTGAGCAATCTCCTGACAAAAACATGTAAGAAGTTAAGAGTCATTTAACCAACAAGCTAATATCATCTAGCTTGATTTCTTATCTCAGTATGGACATATGGACTAATACTTTAGATATCCAGTTCATAAGAGTGTTTATGTGCCATAAATAGTTTGGAAATACAAAGATCAAAAGGTGGTATCAGGTGTTTGAAGGGAATTAGCTGGAATATCAAGGAGGCACATTGCTCATAGAATAAAATGATCCGAGGCAGTGGGTTTACCAAAGCAATCAAATAGGCATAGCTTCTTCTTTCATTATTTTGACACCTCAATAGTAAATTCACAATTTCCACTGGATGTATGGTAACCTGGCTGCTTGGGAAATCTGAAAGGATCATAATTAACAGGTATGTGTTAATTAATTTCATTTTTAAAAATTTTTGGCTAAAGATCTAGATTGCAGAGGGCAATGGTAATCTTCAACAAACTGCCCGTAAGAATGGTAGAGGTACAAACACTCATAACAATTAGGAAGTATTTAGATGTATACTTGTGCTGTCAAGGCATACAAGGCTGGACATGGGCCAAGTACTGGAAAATGGGATTATAATAGTTAGGTGGTTATTTTTGACCAGTGTGGATTCAGTGAGTTCGAAGGACCTTTTTTCTGTGCTGTACACCTCTATGACACTTGATTGCAAACAAAATACATACAGAAAACAAAAGTCATGTATCTATCATTAAATTGGAATTTGTTTTACTACAGTACGAGTGTAAGTAATCCTTTTAGTTTTGAAAGCATTTTTAAATGCATGAGTCATTCTGAACTTTAATTATTGTTTCTAATTTCAATCTTTGGATTAGAACATAGCAAGCAACTCTCGTATTTATTCAGCCTCCCAAAGAGCCCAGGAGAAAGTTTTGGTCATGACCATCTTGACCTGTTACATTCTATGTGGTATAGACAGTGGTTTCAGTAGCGACATTCAATTTCTGCATGTTTCAGAGGATGTTTAAGACGCAGCTACATTGCTAAGGATAGTGAGTCACGTACGCTAGACTGGGCTGGTCAGTAAAAGCTGATGACTTAAAGAACTCGGAATAACTAATTAGTGAAACCAACATCTTAAGATCCTGATGTTATGCAAGATCAAAATGAAAAACATAAACTATTTTCCAGTAAAAATCTTAGTAAAAACTGAATAAGTGATGGAACATCAATATCCGTGCTGCATTGGAGTGAAAGGCCTGTTAGTTTATTTGCAGGTGATGTTCCCATCATATATGCGGTAGTATTCGCTGCTAATCACAAATGTGGCTCTACCCTTTCTTTCCATGCGGCTCGATAATTTTTAAAATTAAAGACAATGAATTGAGACAAATATACAAAAACTTTAAAATCTCAACGCAGTTGCTGGCTACTAGTAAAAGAAATGTTGACGGCTGTAAAATTCACATGACCTACATATTAGCTGCAGCATCACTCAGATGGACTCCCTTCCCGAGCCGTACTGGTTTCACTTGTCCAGTATCGAAGATTAGGATTCACTGCCCTGCAATTACATCATTATAGATCTGTAATAAGGTGCCTGGCTGCATTTCCAATGCAGCAAGCAATTTCTCACCCAACAGTGATGTATCCTCAAATCTATCATTCTTACAAATCTTTCTTGCAAGTAAAACAATTTTTGCATTTTTTATACTTCCCCTTCTTCATGTCCATACAGCTTTGCAGCTACTTATGCCTTGCATATATATTCTTTTAAGTTTGTCACTTCTTTAAGATTTCCTGCCAAGAACTGAATATTATGGAGACAGCACTGACACTGGCGTATATTGCCATGATTCATACATACCTTGTACACCACAGTCTGTTCTGCAGTCAAACATTGCCTTCACAATTATCAACTTGCTTACCAGCTCTTTCGGAGGTTTCTGAGAAAATGAATTTACTCTGCAGGTGTTCAAAAAGTTTTTTTCAAGTAACTGTATATTATGCTACCTAAATGCTCAAACTTTTTGAGAAGTTGAGAATTATGTTTGTCATAAGTCATGTCTTGAACAGGAATAGATATTTCAAATTCCGTGATTTTATTACCATAAAATGAAGCTGGCAACTGAGTTTTTTCCCACTTATTACAGAACAATCCAAGCAATAAACTTGGGCACATGATCAATAAGTCTCATATCAAGAGATTTACATTTACCTGTTTGGCTATCTCCGTCACAGTAAGTATACATACTTCAAAATGTTCTTTTGTTTATTCAGAAATAATCTGATAATGTTGGGAGACAGGTTTATTTTAAAATTCCATTTATCCTTGAGATTCAATTAACGGGTATGCCTGCGCTTTGTTTTTATTGAAATATTTGACCAGGAGATTAAAACCAATTGTAAACGTGTTATATTTGCTAATGATGCAAAATATGAATAGTAGATAATGAAAACAGCAAAATAAATGTGTAAAAGGACTCTGTAATTCTCATCAATTAAACAGATGATAAATGCAATAGCTGCATATGAAATCCTACTACTTACATTGGAAGGATATGCAAAGCTGAATAAAATAGATCCAACATGAGAGGTATGAGGTTAGTTTGGTCTAATAAGAAGTTGGACCTCCTCAGTGTGTATGAAATATATAAAATGCTATAGGTATGATAAATTAAAATGAATACTTCATAAGAAGATATTACCAGAATATGTAACTGGAAATGAATAGAAAAATACGTGATTATCCAAATAGGTACAAGGTTAGAAATCACACCACACCAGGTTATAGTCCAACAGGTTTATTTGAAAACGCAAGCTTTCAAAATCTCAGTCCGCCTTCAGGTGTTAAGTGAGAGAGGTAGTATCAGACACAGAATTTATGAGTAAAAGATCAAAATTTCACACTATTGATGAGGATGTACTGAACAAACCTAAGATGCTGTTAAATCTTTAATCGGTTAGAAGGTTTTAATTGATTAATATGTAAATGTAAATCCCCGAATTCCTTTCAAGTCATGGTCCTGAGAGGACTAAAGATTTTATCAGTGTAAAGAAGAGGTGACATTTTAGGTCAGACCATGTATGTTAGGTGTGAGACCTGGATTAGAATCTATGTTTTAGTTTGGAGTCAGACTGCTTTTACTTATAAAGTAGGATTTTATAAAATTTGTATTTGCAAATGCACTTTATTTTGTTCAAAAAGCACACAATTTATTGACAGTTAATATGGTGTTTTATATAGATAAAACCAGCCTGACTCCAAACTAAAACACAAACCGATTCTAAACGAGGTCTCACACCTAACATGCATTGACTGATCTAAAGTGTGTCCTCTTCTTTACACCGATAAAATCTTCAAAATCCTCTCGGGACTGTGACTTGAAAGGAAGTCGGGGATTTACATATACATATTAATCAATTAAAACCTTCTAACTGATTAAAGATTTAACAGCATCTTAGGTTTGTTTAGTACATCCTCATCAATGGTGTGAACATTTGATCTTTTACTTATAAATTCTGTGTCTGATACCACCTCTTTCACTAACAACTGAAGGACTGAGGCTCTGAAAGCTTGCATTTTCAAATAAACCTGTTGGACTATAACTTGATGTCATGTGATTTCTGACCTTGTTCCCCCCACCCTGGTCCAACACCGGAACCTCCACATCCTAAATAGGTACATTATCTGAAAGTGTTGTTGTACATTTTTATCTGGTTTTGATTGATAGTTGGAAATTACTTACTTCCTCAGTAACAGCATTGAATACAAATAAATGCAGATGGTTTTGATATGTTATGACTGTGGACCAGACCACTAAATTTTTGTTACAATGGGACCTGTTGTTTCTTTTTAAAGTTTACATGGTGTGAGATCCCACATACTTACTAATAGGATAAAGCCACAATTGCATAATTTTGCATAAGAAATAATAAACTTAATTATACAAAATATACAAGCACATTAAGGTATTTCTCACAGCTTATATTCTAACATCAAACATGTGGATCATACACAAGCTATGGTCAAAGGCCTCATAGAACGCAACAAATAACAAATATAGTAAAAACAAATCCTGTAGATTTCTCAGCAACCCCAACACATTACTGTCACAGTGGGTAATCAGTTCTCATTACAACATTTCAAGGGATTACAGTTATTCCACTTTTGGATATCTGGCTTTCAAAACTCCCTAAAAAGACACTCCATCATGGTCTGCCTAAGTGACTGCTTACTTAGGCAGTGCATGTTGGGGCTACCATTCTCCTTTCCTGGGACTGTGCTCTCTTGAACTCTGGACACCACGCTCTAGTGATTATTCATAGCCACAATTGGCAGGACAAGTTAATACGGTAGTTAAGGTATATGGATTGCTTGCCTTTATCGGTTGTGGCATAGATTATAAGAGCAGAGAAGTTATGTTCAAACTGTATAGGACTTTGGTTGGGCCACAGCCGGAGTACTATGTGTAGTTCTGGTCATCATGCAATAGGAAGAATGTGATTGCACTGGGCAGGCTGCAGAGTAGGTGCACCAGGATGTTGCCTAGGTTGGAGCACTTTAGCTATGAAGTTAGGCTTGATGAGTTCAGGTTGTTTCCTTTAGAGCAGAGAAGGCTGAGAGGGGAATCTGAGCTGTATGAGGTTATGATGTGCATGGACAGGGTGGATAGAAAGCAGCTGTTCCCCTTAGTTGAAGGGTCAATAACAAAGGCACATAATTTTAACGTGAAAGGCAGAATATTTGAGGAAAAGAATTTTTACCCCTGGAGGTGGTGGGAATTTGGAATGCCCTGCCTAGAAGTTGAGGCAGAAATCGATCCATTTTTAAAATGTACTTGGATGAGTACTTGAAATGTCATAATACTCAAAGCTGTGGGCCACGTGTTGAAAAGTGAGATTAGTGTAGGTTTAGAATAGTTTTGGTGCAGACCTGATGGGCTTAGAGAGTTTCTTCTGTATCGTATAGAATCATTTAAGAAATGATAGAAAAATTGAACACACAGTTTGACTCTGTCTTCTCAAAGACCAATAACCTCCAAGAAAAGTTAAGGAAACAAGGGTCTAGTGTGAAGGTGGAATTGGATGAAAACAGTTTTAAGAAGAAAACGTTGCTAGTATAAATAATGAGATTAGAGGCTGACAAATCACCAGGGTCTGATAATCTACATCCCAGAGTACTCAAGGAAGTGGCCTTGAATGTTAGATGCATTGATGGAGCAGTTCATACAGATTGGAGGTGACAAATGTAACCCCACTATTGAAAAAGGGAGGGAGAGAAAAAACAATTACAGATCAGTTAGCCTAATATCAGTGATGGGGTAAATGCCAGCACGGGTTATGAAAGGCAGATCATACTACAGTAGATTTTTAATGCATTTTGGGGATGCGACTAGTAGAATAAATGAGAGAAAACTAGTTTATGGGGTGTATTTGGATTTTAAGAAGGCTTTTGGTAAAGTCCCTAATTATCATAGAATCCTGACAGCGTGAAACCTACACCATTCAGCCCATTGAGTTCACACCAATCCTCTGAAGAACACCCACCCTAGCCATGTAATCCTATACTTCCCATGGCTAACCCACCTAGCCTGCATATCCCTGAACACAATGGGCAATTTAGCATGGCAAGTCTACCTAACCTGCACATATTTGGAGGTTAGTAGACAAAATTAAAGCACATGGGATTGTGTGCAATATATTAGCATGAATTGAGAACTGGTTGACAGGTAACAAATAGTGTGGGAATAAATAAATCTTTATCCAAGTAGTAGTGAGGTACTGCTGGGATCAGTGCTTGAGCTATTCACAACGTATGTAAATGATCTGGATGACGGAGCCAAATGTAGCATTTCCAACTTTGCTGACAACACAACAAATCCTGGAGAGGATTGATTTGTAAGGCAGTTTCAAGTGATTTGGACAAGTTGCATATGTAAGCAAGCACATGGCAGATGCGGTATATGTGGGTAAATGTGAAATTATATACTCAGGTATGAAAAACACAGGAAGCATATTATTTAAGTGAGGATAAATTGGGAAATGCAGTTTGTAAAGTAGATTTTATTATTTAACAGTACCAGTACAGAGTTTTTCATGACAGCAGCACATCAAATGACCAAAGTGATTTTCTGTGTAAACGATCAAAGTTAACATACAGACGGCAGATTAGACAGGGATTACTGAACTTTAATTCAAAATATGTATTCCCATTGCAAGCTGCTCTTATGTTGATAGAGCAAAATTATACTTACCTTCTAGCTCTATACAAAGATATAATTTTGTGGAATAACAAAGAGAGGTTGTGATGCACAATGATACAGGACAAGGAAACCCACCAGGTGTGCAATCCTGAGAAAATACTGAATGCTATTGTTCTATCCAACCTGCAGATACAAAGCTGCTGGCAGTGCTGAAAACTATACTGAATGATACCAAGTTAGAAACAAAATCAGTTCTGAGCAGTTGCTGATTGGTAAAACCACATTACACAATGTCAGTGATTCTGTTGTGGTGTCCTTACACTTAAGTACACATTTTAATGTCTTCTGAGTGAGCGACTTATATACTTCATGCAGATTATAGGCTTTTTGATTGGAAAGATCCTTTAAAATTGAGTTTTGTTAATTATGGGATTTGCCCATATCTTGGATAAACATGTTATACAAACAAACCGTTGTTGAGTTCTTCACTGATTTTTATGCACTTTGTTTCTTTTATATATGGTGACATGAGGACATAGATAACATGATGTGGAAGATTTTTAGTGGAATCAGCACAATGCAGGCAGGCATAAAGCATCGATTTGTTGAACAAATTGATCAAGATTTAAAATTATAAACTCGAATGGTTACAATAAGATGCATAGTAAAAGAAAATTACATTGCAGCAAGCAGCAAAAATTGAAGATTTGACTTTTGCAAAACTATGAAATTCAAGCTTCAAATACCCTGAAATTTAAAAAGGTATCATGTAATAATGACCTCATAGTAAGAGGTTACTCTAGAATACAGTCAAGTAAATTGAACGTGGGGTCAGTAAATTTTAATGGCTTGATATACATGGCGAATTTTCTATCTGGAAAGCATCAATTTTTGGTTTTGCTCTTTAATCACTTTCATATTGGGTTTAAAGAGGAGACATTTTTTGATCTAATTCTAGAAAATGCAGTGAATCAAATTTGAGAAATGGTGATCATAATATAGTTAGGTTTTGAATAATGAATAAAAGGACATCGAACAATCAGACTTAAGCTAGCCCACCTCCAGTTTTATCGTTTTCTGAGAATTGGAAGAGATCTGGCACAAGTGGATTGGAATCGGACATCCATAGGCAAATAGCGTGGAGGCCCTTTTAAAGGGGAGATGGTTCAAGTGCACAAAAGATATATACCTATGTGGGAGAAAGGAAGAGGATGCAAGGCTAGAGTTCTATGAATAATTAAACCAAGTTAATATAAAGAGGAAAAAAAGGCTAATTACAAAAGTTAATAATACAGAAGAGAACCAAGCTGAAAGTAGGAAATATGGAATTCTAAGAAAGGGAATAGAGGGAAAAGGCGAAAGTATGAGAATGTATAAACTCATGAAA